CTCTGTGTGTGTGTGACTATTGTATTTTCTTTCAGACACCCCCTGTTCCCTCTTTTAGCACTGATTTTTGAGAAATGTGAATTAGCTACATGCACACCCAGGGAGCCCGGGGTAGCGGGAGGCGATGTTTGCTCCTCTGAGTCTTTCAATGAAGACATAGCAGTGTTCGCCAAACAGGTCAGCAAAAACGGGTTGAAACAGTAAAAGGAAAAAAAAAAGAGGGGAAAAAAAATCGTAACGAGAAAAACAAGTCTCTGTTGAGATAAAGATGCGCGTTTCCCCCTCCCCCCCTCTCTTACTGCAAGAGGCAAAAAAAAACCCCAAACCCACCCAAAAAGCCCAACCAACAAAAAAAAAAAAAAAAAAAAAAAAAAAATCGGGAAATCTCGGCATTTACCACCCCGCTAAAGAAATGAATTCATGGGAGCGGTCGGTGCCCGGGTGGGAGTTTTGCTGCGCGGCTCCTAGGAGCTGGGCCGGGGCTCTGCCCGGGAAGCTCCGTAGGTATTTTTCGGTGTATTTGATTCACTTGTTCAAGTGTTTGGCTGATGTACTAAATCCAGCAGTCAGGGCTTTGCACGAAAGGTTGCATAATGGACCCGACAGTGTAATGAAGCAAGAAATAATAACGTCTGCTTTTTCTGCTTCCATATTTCAAATCTTTTTTATTATTATTTTTTCCCCCCTTTCCTCCCCTTTCTTATATTTAGATCCGAGCAGAGAAACCCCTCTTTTCCTCTCATCCTGAACTGGATAACTTGGTAAGAGTTAACAACACTTCTTCCTCTCCCCACCCCCACCCCGCCACCCTCCCTTCCCTTCCCATTTATTTTTTTTTTTTTTTTAACTTCTATGTCTTCTGGCGAGGTGGTTTAGCAGTGCTAAATTGAAAAATTTCTCATGTGGATTTTTTTTTTCTAATTATTATGATGCTTTTTCTAATTACAAGTAAATACAGTGCAGTAATTGCGTGGAAGTAAAAAAAAATAATCCCATAAGGACATATAGAAAGCAAGCCCCATCCAAAGGGGAGCTTGCGGGCTCGGTGGTGAGCTCGCCTGCCCAAGAGGAGCGTGGATTTATCCACGCTGTAGCCAGCCCGTCCACGCACCTTTTAAGCAGCTCAGTGGGAAACGTAGAGGCTCACTGTGGCTGCAGATGCACGGTTGCGTCGCCTAACTGATGGAAAATGAGGTCTATTCTCTCTTTCTTTCTTTTTTTTTTTTTTTCCTCCTTAAGGATAAACAAATATTTTGCCTCCGCTGTAGGAGTCTTGCTCCCGCTTTCGCGAAGCGAGGAGCCAGTGATGGTGTTTAGAGGTTGGGGTTTTTTTTTTTAAGGAAATGTTTATGATCCGTATAATTTAGTTGCTTCGTTGCAATAGGGATTTTTTTTTTTTTTGGTTAACTCTAGATCGCTTCTCGTTAAACAGCGCACAAAGCCACCGCTATTAAGTTTTAGTGTTATTGCCATAAATCAAAACAACTTTTTATTTACTACTAGAGAAAAGTCAAGCTACAAAGTGCGGCAGGGGCGGCTGTGGGAAATATCCCCAAATCCAGGAATGAGATAAATACTGGTGTTGTTTGTATCTTTGCAGATGATTCAAGCCATACAAGTATTAAGGTTTCATCTGTTGGAATTAGAGAAGGTAATTTTTGTCTCTCACTCTCTTTCTTCCTCCTCCGTTTCAGTACTGCTGAAGTTCAGGCTTCTGGTAAATTTGCATAAATGTCTTTCTTTCTGGTAATTAGTGTCAAGACCAATCTTGGCGTCCATTTCTCTTCGCAGTTTAATTACAATTTCAGCCTCTAAAACCGGGCTCTCAAACGCCCAGGCCTTGTGTTCATTGTAATACTTTGCTGGCTTTGTATAAATAGTTGCAGTTCTGTGGTGCCGCAGATGAGACTCGAAATGGTTGGTTCAGCCAAGCACCTGAAATCGTGATTTTTAAATGAACAAAAAAAAGATTTTATTTTTTTTCGTGGTGGTGGTGAGGAAGAGACTTTGGTTGCAGTTAGTTGGAATGGGGATTTTTTTTATTTTTTTTTTTTTTTTTGGAAGAGCCATCTGCAGGTCAGGCTCAGGGCAGGGATTGTCCTGTAACATTTTGCAGAGACAAAGCAGAGTTGATAGTTGTGCCTGTCTCTTGTTCCTGGGAATATTGTACACCTCCGAACAGAAGAAAGAGATTGCAGCCTAAATGCAGGGGGGTTTGCCGGCTATTTTAGAAATCTTAGGAAGGAGAATGCTAATTTCTAAGGCGGCAATGTCATCCGAGCTCACATTAAATTGGAAGTGCGCTCTGGTTTCCTGAGGATTTTTTACGTGTCATTGATAGCTGGCCTAGAAGAGAATTCCCTTTCTCCTAAAAATAAACATTTTGAGAGGTTTTTAAATAGTTGAAAAGTTTCTCAGGAGCCTCAGCCACTTTATCTAACCATAACTGGCAGGTTGTTCTCGCTCTCCCCAAAATGTGTTAAAATCTGCCCATTAATAGAGGCAGCTCAGGTACGAGTCTATCAGGGCGGCTGGGGATTTCAGGGCACGGATGCCTATAATGTATTGCAGCCCAGTGCATCGGGATTTTTTTTTTTTTTTAAATCCTTTTTTCTGTCCTCATACCCCTTTGGAAAGGGTTTATGATGAAATAACTGGATGAAATTAAATAGTTTACCTTAAATGTCACCCATGCAGGTCACCTCTCTAATGGCCACAGCTCCGGGAGCAGATGAATTTAACACGGGTGTTGAATATGTTGTAGCCTGTGAATCATCTTGTCACTGTCAATTTTCTGGGATATCTCTATTTTGCGAGAAAAGAAAGTTATTCCTAATTCTGGATGCGTCTAGAGGTCTCGGGGGGATAATTGCAGTGTGTTTCCCCTATTTAGGACTTTTGATGTCACAGGGGTGAAGGGGGGAGACTGGTTGCACTTGTCAATTGTACTTACGTATTCCTGATTATATTTTCTTCCTTCCCCCCCCCTTTTTTTTTCCTTTTCCTCTTTTTTTTTTTTTTTTTTTTTTTTTTTTAACCTCTGTCATAATGTAGGTACACGAATTATGTGACAATTTCTGCCACCGGTATATTAGCTGTTTGAAAGGAAAAATGCCTATCGATTTGGTCATAGACGATAGAGAGGGCGGATCAAAATCGGACAGTGAAGACATAACAAGATCAGCAAATCTAACAGATCAGGTATGATCTCGCCAATGCCGCACATGCTGAAATTTGTATGCAGATCGCTCGCTGGGTCACTACGCCTCCTTTTATTATTTGCATATGATTAAGTCCCTTTTAGATAAATTTCCATCGAAATGAAAATTTTTGAATAATGTGGCTATTATTGCTTCATTAAGGCTTGCTCCCGGATTCGACCTGGCGAGATGAGCTTGTAAAAGCGTCGCCTGCAAACTCGACCTGTTTCTTGTCGCTTTTAATTTTTGTCTTTATTTTATTTACCCTTTACAATAATAGAAGTGGTATCCGTGAATCGCTGACTTCTTGGTGGTGTAGGGA